CATAAAAGTTGTAACAAATTAAAGTGAAACATGCCCTTTGGGGTACTATTGACTTCGGAAAAAAACGTTGAGCAGCACCAGAAACTCTGGGCAATAGCCAGAGCATTCAAAATAACGTCATCCAGAGGTCGCAATCTTTTTAAAAGACCAGACAACCGACTTGACTCGACCGCAAAAGAACCGACAAGGAAAGGACCGTCATGAAGTCTGAGAACCTAGAGGTCATTGGCACAGCATAGCCTTGAGGTTTTGAATATCGGCAGGCAAGGAAAAACGAGGAAGATTAGATACGGCAGAGAATGGACTGCCTCGGAGTAGGCTTTTCAAGCATTTTAGGCCTCCAGAAGATTGATATATTTTCTCAAGATTGTGATCCTATGACCTTAAGATAATCGTGCGTAAAATCAGTCTAATGCTGAGTCACAGTTCGTGTAACGAGTTAAGGACAGGTTAAGTGCATTTGGGGGTTTCCTGTCACGTAAAATGAACCACATGCCACTAAACGCTAAGGGAATCTTGTAGTATCATAGCCTACTCAATATTCATAGGTACCGATTTGGGCCTGCAACTTGTCGATAAGTCACAGGATATCATACAACCATGACAAGTCAATTCAGTCTTACAGTATTCCATGCTGGGTCTTTAGTTACTACACGACGATATGTCACACAATAGACATTTTATGAAATCCTTGTTGAAATTGATCTACAGTCCTATGAATGAATCTCACCTATGAATATGTAAGATGCATGCAATCTGTTATCATTGCGTCGGAAAGTATATCTCGTCTGTTGGTCGAGTGCGTAATCTCCTCCATGTTACGCACACAAGTGGTACGCTCGTTATGCCAGGGATGGGGCCATGGGTTGTGAGTTGGTGGGGGGAGGATTTTTCAGGGCCTCCTGGGCAAAATGGGACCTTCTCACAGAGGCTCCCACATAGTGTCGTATTCCAGAAGGAGTGGCAGGAGAGTAAGTCAAGGTGAATACGTGGCGACAATCTAAAAATCTAGAATGGAAGCCTTTTAATTATCTAGCAAAGGGTCACGCCACCCTAAAGCAAGGCCTCCGATTCCAGAAAAGGGCCTCCCAATGCATAGAATGGTCTTCTAATCCATATCACAACGCTTACGGTTCGCGAAGGGATCCTGTATTCGATGATGAAAATAATTGTCGGTCGGACTGCCTCACACGCAGCGGTGAACTGCCGCACACGACGCCGACAGGGAGAGACCCACCCCACAAGCCCGAGCAGCACCTCTTACACTGCTTCCAATGTCCCATACCCGCAACACGATCTGCGTGCGACTGGCCGGCGCCACCGTGACGCACCGCCCCGAGCCGTGATTGTTCTCCTCACTCAGACATGAGTCATCGCCCCACTCGCCTTACATGCTGACACACTGTCCCGGGGCATGTTCCACCGCTACAGATCCTCCAGATCTAGCCAAGGGGCCTCGCTATCTCAGAACAGGGTATCCTGGTCCGAATCCGCGGACGCCTGATGCATGAAAATGACTCGTTGACCGAGAACTGGGACCCCTGAATAGATAGGGCACCTCCCAAACCAGAACAGGGGCTTCCCAGTTGTAACGAGGGTCTCCTGTGCCCTCAAAAGGGGTATAATTAACACAACGTTGGGCCGCCTGATCCAGGACATTGATTACCGTATTTATGAAGGTCACTTCAGGACACAGAAAACGGGTCTCTTGATGTGGAAAAGGGTCTTCTAAACCCGATTTATTACTCTATAGCTCAGTTATGGGGGGAGGGGGGAGATGTGTGGGGGCTTCTTTATTCAAATTTTGGCACTCCATGTGTGGGCCAAGTGTTTTTAGTTAAGAACTAGGGCCTCCGTTCTTTTCTTTGGGGGGGGGGGGCAAAACATACTCAAGCCCCCTCCCCCTCTGCTTGCCGGTAGGGGGAAGCAACAGCCTACTCTGCCCCCCCCCCCCCTCACTTGCTGTGCCGCCCATGTGTAATACGTAAAAGATCAGAAAGAGTCTCCTGTATATTGCGCACAATTCTGATATGTGTAGTATGGAAGAGATCAAAGAGATTACGTACCGAAGTAGCACGTGATCATCGGAGTATTAAACCCCATGGATAGTTGAGGAAAAGCGTCATAATATAATGATATAACTTGACGTGCGATGGTGGTGAATATAAAAAAATAAGCTCTTAGACCTATTGGCACATGAGGTGAGCCTTCGTTTACCCCTTCCAGCTCAGCTTAGTTGCGTTACTGCACCGCATTTTTACAAATTCCTATGAGTTGAGGGGAGTTTTATAACAACGTTTTCCTTTTAGCTACGCTTATACCATACCTTCACCATACACCTAACAACATAAATCATCTGCAGGTCGGCCCATTAATGTGATTCGAGGTCGCAATACCCAAGGGTGTCGTTTGACGCTTGATCAGCCTAATCCGTTCATCGGCTTCGGAGATATTCAGGGTCATTAACCATTCCTCTCTCTAGGAATTACAAATCACCAAGTATCCGAATACCCGTTGGATGAATGTGCTCCAATTGGTTTGATCATGTTGGTTTCGTAATTCGACGCAGGGCTCAAAAACAGCGACGGCGCCTTTGTGGTTAGTTTAGCTGGTGCAGCGGATGGCGTTCGACGGTACAGTATACTAGTGCGGCGCACAGTCACAGTGACATCTGCTGGCAGAAATTGAACTATTAGTCCAATCGACAATTAGGGATGTCGCACGCATGCTGCCATATTGGGTGATGTGGAGATTGAAGTCGTAACTTGCAGAGTGATCGGGGCAACCGTCCATAAACGTAGCTAGTTCCTCGATCGGCACCGTCGATGCTTATGTTGTCCGCCGTCACCCGGCGGCGTGCGGCAACACGCAGGGCGCGGGACCGGAACGCTACACGTCGCGGTCGCAGCGCAGCCCTGCGACGGCCGCTTCATCCACACTGCTGTTTCGTCATTTAAAGGGAATGTTCCACATTTGAAGATGCTGAATCAAACATCAGATATGCTGAAATGAGCTCACTTGTAGCTATTTGTGTGCTTAAAAGTGGAAAAGGCTGCTCTAGACAACATAATTTTTCTGTCGAACAGATGTGCTCCTCAGTACGTCCTTTTTTCACTACGCCATCGTAGCCTGCACAACATTGATTGCGAGCCAGTAGACGGCCGTTATACCTGGAAATCGTGCTCGCGAACACCAGATATGAACGAATCGACAATCATATTTCTATTTGCCTTGATCGCCGCATGATCAATGAAATGACATGATTCGAATAACGCTGTTCTTGCGTCATGGATGCCTGGGCGACCTTGAAATAGTCTCCGGAAAAACTTGCACATCTTTGCATGCGTGTAGCTCAGAAACTAGAGGGGTTTGGGTCTTAAGAATGGCAGGCTGTGAACAACGCGAAATAGTCTTCAAAATGGTCATTTCAGGGCAAAATCATATGTAGAGCCCTCCCTTCAAGAGCGCACTTTTCACCAGTATGTCTACTAAATTCTTGGCATGTGCTCTGCTTACCAGTTCACGCTGCCAGCTTTCGCTGGGGACGATGTTCCGAAGCCGGCGGTGCGATCCACGACTTCCCCTCCCCACCTCCCGGGGCACGACCTCTGCCGCTCGCGAGGACGTGCACCATGCCGCTCGGCCTTCATGGGCGCAGACGAGGAAACGCCGCGGGCGAATGGAGACTTAAGTCCGCCTCGCGGGTAAAGCCGGTGGCGACGGCTGCCCTGTGTGTGAGATAATTACCTTCTTGCCAGATGTGCTCCCCTTCCAAATGTGGTTCACGAACCGCATTCAGGCCAAGCACCAATTCGTTGCGGGCCACACCAGGCCTTCAAACGTTTATGTCGACCGGTGAGATCCTGACTGCGTTCGCTAACTTTTACTTTTCTTATTTCTGCCCGATTACTTGGCCACTTGTCTTATTAGACCCATTCATTTTGCCTACGCTGTGCCCCGCCCCACTCCCACGGTGAATACGAGTACGAAAGACTATTTTCCTTTCATAGTGTGACCCTTCCGACTTTGTTTTGTCATCTGCGAATTGTAATAGTTGCTAAGGATCCCGACAAGGATCATAAGCAAACCACGTATTCACGTTCGGACATGTGCCATTAATTGAAACCGATGACTCAAAATCACGAAACCCTTGATGAGAAACAAAAAATAAGTAGTAAGTCATTTACAATAGATGCTTAATTGCCGTATTGCACCCCCAATTGGGAGTAATTACACGCTGGCCTATTGGCCACATTACAAAAATATAATCTGCAGCCTACTGGAAGAGCACCAAAAAGTATAATACCACACGATCAGTTGCGCCGGACTACGCAACTCATTTCGGCTCAATTGTGTTGCGACTCTCTCATGAGTTGTCGGTGTCGCTCTCCACTGCAGAGCAGCGCAATCTCGCTCGCGCCGGACTGGGCCTGTTCATGTCACCACGCGACCGATAATGATGCTGTTGCAGTCAACAGCAGTGTCAACATGCAGCGTAAATCAGCCTGCCACGCCGTCATTCGCCGTCGTTTGATCGCGGCGGTTCGGCAACCCCGCCCCGCCCCCGCGCCGCTGCGGCCTGCGCCCCGGAGGCACCCCGGTCCGGGCGACCGGCTCCACCGCCGCGCCACCTATTACTGACGGGAAATCACCCGTGAAAGATTCCCTAACGAGTCATCAACTCGCCGTCCGCCGACGGACGAGCGTATGACGCCGCTGGGGTCGGCGGCGGCCGGCGAATAAACCCCGCCCCAGCTGGCACCGCGCGCCGTCTGCGCGCGCCGCCCTCCCCCAGTCGATCCAGAGCCGCGCCGGCCGGCCGGGCGCTCCTCCGTTTACTTTGCGCCCGTGCTGCCACCTCGCGTCGAAAATTCTGCCGCGATCCAAGATGGCCGCAGTCTGAAGTGATCGGCAGTGGGCGCGAAGCGATGTGGCCGGGCGCGGCGGCAGTGCGGCGCGTCTCGGGGCCGGGCCGGCGCGGTCCGAGCCCGCGGCGGCGGTGGTGCCTCTGATGTGGACCGCGCCCGCCCGCCATGACCGCGACCTGGCGACCGTCGGCGAGGCTTGACGCTCAGCTGCGCGACCTGTCGCAGCGCTGGCGTCGCTGCCTCGCCTCTCTGCTCCTCTTCACAATCATCCTGACCAACAACTTCGGAGTCTCCAGCTCGGAGGCGGCGGCCAGCGCGCCCCGCGCGGTGCCGTCGGCTCCTGCCAGCATGACAGACGTCGCAGCCAAGCCCAGCCTAACCCAGTGCCTTTCCGCCAGTGGGGGTCGTTGCCAAAGTGAACAAACCTACAACGCGTCGCAGGAGTGCTCGTGGCTGCAGAAGATACGAGAACACCGGCTGGCTTATTGTTATAAAATCAATTTATGGCATTCGTTGAACAGCACCGTTCGTAAACTCTCCAGTTGTTTGGAGAACAGCTTTCGTGGGCATATAGACTACTTGGAGACGCTTGATAGGCAAGTGGGTATAATGTACACCAATTTTGAAAATATTATAGACCGACTCGACTGTGGAGACCGCTACTCCGTGATTTATAACTGCTCCCAGTGTAAGGTAAGCCAATGATGAACTTTGAGCATGTTTGTGTACATGGTCATGTTTCCTTTATAAATGTTTCTTGTTCCGAGTAAAATGGGAAAAAGGGCTGCTTATCGGGCACGGTGCCACTACCTCAGTGTCCTTTGCAGTCATTTCGTTCATGTTATCGCAGTGTTTTGTCTCTATACCATTGATTGCGTTACCTCGTTATTTGCTTCCAAGACCCGGTAATTCATTGTGAAAAGTTTGTCGTTCCGAATTTGGTTTTGCTTGCCCAATTTTGGTTTTAGGTGACGCGTCGTCGCAGCCCAAAGAAATCAATCAACTCTGAGACTTTCCAATCCAGTTTATACCCGCAAAACTGCCCATCCAACCTTTTTCTCCTCTTAATCCGGGACTAATCCCGCGGGGAAACGGCCGGATCGGAATGCATTTGTATCAAATTCACCCAACCCGGTGCGGCCGCCGGTCGTAAAACTCCCAAACGCCTCGTCCGCGTGTCAGACGGCCCCTCGCGCGCCGCCGTCCGACGGCCGTGGCGTCGCTTTGAGTGGCCCGAACCGATGACGACCGGGGAGCTGGCTGTTGCAATTTGTGCCCCGAGGTCGCGACGAGGCAGAGCGGCGCGCGGCCGGCCGCCAGGAGCCGCCGACGGGCAGAGCGGCTGGCGTTATTGATTGACGCGTCGCCCAGCCGGCCCGCGGGCGGTCACCGCACCGCCGGCGGCCGCCGCACCCCCGCGCTGCTGCACCCCCGCACGGCCGGCGGGCTCTGCCGCTGCACCCCGGCGCTGCCGCACCCCGCACCGCTGGCGGTCCCTGCCGCCGCACCCCCGCGCTGCTGCACCCCCGCACGGCCGGCAGCTCCTGCCGCTGCACCCCGGCGCTGCCGCACCCCGCACGCCGGCGGGCTCTGCCGCTGCACCCCGGCGCCGCCGCACCCCGCACCCTGGCGGTCCCTTTCCGCAGCACCCGCTCTCTGCTGCACCCCCGCACGGCCGGGCGGGCTATGCCGCTGTTTCACTCCGCGCTGCCGCACCCCGCACCGCTGGCGGTCCCTGCCGCCGCACCCCCGCGCTGCTGCACCCCCGCACGGCCGGCAGCTCCTGCCGCTGCACCCCGGCGCTGCCGCACCCCGCACCGCTGGCGGTCATTGCGCCACTGAATCCTCGCACTGCCGCACCCCTGCAGCGCAGGCAAGCTCTCCGCCGCGTCATTACACCGCCGACAGCCACTCTATTTATCCTACACCCCAAACTGCTGCATCCCGCAACTCTGGCTCTGCTGGCGTCCTCTCTGAAGGTTCTTACACTGCTACATCACCGCGGGCAGCTCCTCTTCCGCCAGCTCACCCTGCTTCACTCCGTACCGCGCTCTGGCACCCGACCAGGCGCACCCCACATGGTCGAATCCCTGCACCGCCACTGTCTTGTGGCCGCGACGGCTCGCTGCCTCGCTACTTTTTCGCAAGCTGCTATACCGTCTTGCTGCAACACATAAGAAATGTCTAACACGCGATACCTTAGGAGTCACTAATGTTTTTGACAGCGAAAATATTTTCGGTTTACGCTACGAAACTTTATAAAAGACGACCAGGCCTCTCGACGGATGGATGGGACCGTTCCCCCTCGGTTGCGACGGACTGTGAGTCGTTTAGATGATTTGAAGGGGATTGTGAGAGGATAGATGAGGAGAGAGAGAGAGAGGGAGGAGAGAAGAGAGAGAGAGGAGAGAGAGAGAGAGAGAGATAGAGAGAGAGAGGAGAGGAGAGAGAGAGAGAGGAGGAGGAGAGAGAGAGAGGAAGAGAGAGAGAGAGAGATAGAGAGAGGCGAGAGAGAGAGGAGAGGAGAGAGAGAGAGAGAGGGAGAGATAAGAGAAGGAGAGATAGAGAGAGAATATAATATAGTATATATTATATATAAAATATATATATATAATATATATATATATATGTATATATGCTATATATTTATTTATTCATATGTGTGTGTGTGTGTGTGTACATATGCTTTGTTTGCCGGACTTACCACCAGTGACCAAAAATCACCCAAATTGACATTTGAGCCTGTTAGCTACCCTGGCTTCATGCTTAGGTGCAAATTTTTCTGCATGATTATCTGTTCTTTCCTGCGTCAAACTGTGTTGGTCTCGTATCGGTTTCCACTTTTCTCTAACAACTCCCCATTTTTAGAAACGCTTCGTTTGTGACGTTACTTGAATGTGGTGGTGGTGGAGCGTTGTGGTGGTGTTGCAATGTCACAAGAAGGTCCCGCCAGATCAAAGGACAAAGGTCACCTTGCAAATGTCGTAATAATATTGCAGCACTTTTAAACTGCGATGCATTTTTGCTATGCTTCTTGTGTAATTGCGCGACTGGTGCGAATGGTTATGCCACAGGTTTAAACTTTCCCAAGGTGTGAGTGGCCAGGCTGGATGGTACAACATTCTCGCTTGGCTGACGTTAAGACAAATTCATCCTGCCCCGCTTGTAACCAGGGTTGGGTAATGCAATCATTTATTTGTGAGCCGCTCATCCATTTTCCGAAATCTCACCGACGCAACGTCTGTGTGAGAGCGGCTTCATTTCATCGCTGTAATAAAATGCTAACGATCAAATATATCCTTTCTATCCGTTGGCAGAGCGGCTGTGGCCGTACCATCGTTCTGCCGTCACCTTTTGCCTGGTGTTTATGTGCGTACAACAAATTTAAGCAAAAAAAAAAACAGCCACGGCTCGAAACTCGACAGTGACGAACTTTTTTTATTTCTTCTGGTTAAGCGGGTGCAACTGGATGGTCTCCGAAACAAAGGCTGGATGCAGGTTGATAAAAGGCCTAGAGAAAATAAACGACACATCCGGCTAACTCGAATCGCAGACATTTGGTGACAAATTGTCATAAGATTACAAACAACCCTGAAATATTAAGGATTTTGAATTTCTCAGATTCCACGCAGTTGCTCATACCGTTTTCTAGCCCAGATATATGTCCCGAGATGGACAAGCGTAGGCCAAATGACAACTTCGAATCCTCTGTCGGGCGATGGTCTGACATCGCAGCCAGGCCCGCTGGTTTTGTGCTGCGCGTGCTATAGACGACATGCCATGACATTGGGACGAAAACTTGTCCATAGACTGCGACAAAATAAAAATGGTCATTGGAAATTTGTACCTTTGTTACCTGAAACGTCGCCCTGCCTTCCAACGCACAAAGCACAACACGGGTCCGCTTAGCACTGTCCCCCCGGGGCCGCCACCGTACTAGCGCGTCAGACAGCCACGTAACCCCGCCGGCACGCCACCGTGGCGCTAAGCCGTCAGATGATCGCACACGCCAACCGCCCATTACACGGTTTTCCCATTTAATGCGGACCAGTTTTACGTACTGGAGCCTTCGTGTCTCCTGAACTTGAACAGTGGTTTTCTGCCAAGAGGATGGACTGGAGGTGTCCTGTGTGTGTGGTCTCCCTCCGTGGGTTTTGAAAGGTTGCACCACTCACCACACAATCACACCACCTCGCCGTCGTAGCACCATACCCAAGGGCGGTGGTACTAGCTGAGAAAGAGTTCGGAGGGGTATTAGGTCCATGTCTTCCATGCCACACCAGGGGCGTCATGTGAAGATTCAAAGTCGTCAAACTTCGACTATTTCGCCGTTTTTGGTCACTTCTCGCAGCGTGGAAGTACAACCGGAGATTCCATAGCTGATGTAGTGTAACAAAACGACCATAATTGGCTGGAGCGTGATGTACGTGATCAAAGCTTTCACTCTGGTGCTTTCAAATTGCATCAAATGAAGAGCTTGTTAGGTCGACTTAAACGTTGTCAGGTTGTGTTTTTGCGGTCTTCACGTGGCGTTTCGCATGTCCGCGGAGGCCGCAGAACTAGCTGATGTCAGAAATATCACCACTTTTGTGTTTACTGTGAGTGGTCTTAGGTGACCTGAGGTCACTCCATGACATGTTTTAACCTCTTTGACGTTAACTTGATGATCTCGTCCTTACAGTTGCCTACAGACCGATTAAATCATTGCTCCTCGAAAAATCTCAGACCTCTTAAGGAATGGTTGAAGGTCACAAGTTACTTCGGAAATTTTCGAAGCTTGTGCTTGCATGAATGTGGTCTTTGGTGACGCTCACAGTGTTAATATTAACACTGCAGAGTTATTGGCTCAAGATTATGGGTGGTTTGAGCTAAGCTGCCGTGGATTTATGGTTAAGCTCGGTGTGGTCTCAGCCTCAAGTCACTTTTGCAAGTGCTGTGAGCATGGAAAATGTTCAATGTATGACCGTTTTGGGCCTTCAAATCTGCTTTATATGAAACTTGTTCAAATTCGTGGTAGAAAATGCGTCGCAGAGCACCGACTTTTCATATTTCCGGCTCATCTTTTGAAGCGCGACCATCAACCATCGATATGATATGTGGGGATCGAGGAAGCTGAAAGCTGTTGACCGCGCGTACCAAGGTTCCACACTCAGCTAGCCAAAATCGCATTTTGGTAAGTTGAGTGGCCCGAGAGGTGACTGAAAAACCGGAATGGGGCTTCAGCCAGACCTGTCGACTATTTTGGACGGAGGGTGGAGGCATTGGACGAGATCTTCTAATTGGTATTTTTTTGTAGAGTTAAAAAGTCAGCTTAACCCCTCCATGACTTTTCAACAGCAATAGGACCTAAACATCTAATGCATTGACACTTCATTGACGCTGTCATGTGGAGGTAGCACTATGCTGTACTTGTTTTTCACTTTGACCGTGTTAAGCCCAAAACTCTGCCGTGTTGCTTCAGCGACAGGAGTAACTTGCCATAAAAGGAAGAGAAAGATCACAAATAAATGTGGATAGCACACCGCACTTTTTTGCTCAACTATCACCAAACTACCTTTACGTGCCTTATCTCCTTAAAGGGACGCTCCTGGTTATACCACGCTCCACAACGCCGTCATGAAACCACATCGCTATATCACCAGACCGCCACGCAGCCAAGACATAATTAAAAACCGTCACTGAGACACACCGTC